AGCGCTTCGGCGACCTCGTGAGCCTCCGGCTGCCCTACGGCAACGTGGACGTGCGGCGCCTGCCGCCCGGCGCCGACCTCGCCGGCCTGGCCGCGCGCCTCGGCCGCCTGGCGCGCCTCAAGGAGCTCAACCTGGGCTCCTCCCGGCTTTCGGGGCAGCTGGCGCTGCTCCTCGGGTGAGTGCAGAGAATCACGGAACAGTTGAGTCCATCTAGTCCAACCTTGCTGCTGCAGCGGGGACACCCAGGGCACGGGGCACAGGGTGGCATCCAGGCGGGTTTTGGAGACCTCCAGAGAAGGAGACTCCACAGCCTCCCTGGGCAGCCTGTGCCAGGACTCTGCCACCCTCATGGTCAAGAAGCTCCTCCTCATGTGGAGATGGAGCTTCTTGTGTTGCAACTTGCACCCATTGCCCCTTGTCCTTCACTGGCCACCACTGCGAGGAGCTTGGCCCCTTCCTCCCCACATTCCCCCTTCAGGAACTTATTAATCAGATCTCCTCTCAGGCTTGTCCAAGCTAAACAAGCCTAACTCAGTCTCTCCTCATCCGAGAGATGTTCCAGTCCATTCCTCATCTTGGTTGCCCTCCATTGGACCCTCTCCGGAAGCTCCACATCCCTCCTATACTGGGGAGCCCAGATCTGCACAGAGTTCCCAGTGTGGTGGAGCCGGTGCTGTGTTTAGCCTCCGGTTGCAGCTTTTGGGGACACCTGGAGGGTTTTGGCGTCTTAATTCACGCTGCAGTTGGCCATGACTTGCTCATGGGTGAATTAATACTCATGGGTGAGCTTGGCCATTGCGCTGGCACCCTCGTGAGCTCCACGTGGGCTTCGGATGACCCTGCGCACGGTCGCTGCTTAGTTAGAACATTATTAAGCGCCGGTTTGGCCGGAGCTTGGAGTTCAGCTCCTGGTGGTGGCTTCGGGGGCCCTCACGCTGCTACCGTTTGTGCCCCGCAGCGACCTGCAGGGTCCCCTGGAGAGCCTGGAACTCGCCTTCTGCTCCCTGCTCCCCTGCGACCTCGCCTACCTGTCGCGGAGCGCCCACGCGCCGGCGCTCAAGAAGCTCGACCTGAGCGGCCACGACCTCTCGGCGGCGCTGCTGCAGCCCTTCCAGGAGCTGCTGGAGGCCGCCGCGGCCTCGCTCCTCCACCTGGACGTCATGGAGTGCCGGCTGGCGGACGGGGCGCTGCGCGCGCTGCTGCCGCCGCTCACGCGCTGCCGCCGCCTCCGCTCGCTCGGCCTCTTCGGCAACCCGCTGTCCACGGCGGCGCTCCGGGAGCTGCTGCTGCGCACGGCGCCGCTCGCCGAGCTGCGCCTCGTCGTCTACCCCTACCCCGCGGACTGCTACCACGAGGACGCGCCGCGGCCGCCGGCGGCCTCCGCCTT